ATAGTATCTCATTCTATGTATACGCCATAGTTTGAATCCTTTTATCTGTTGCTTGAGGTTAATTTTTTTCCACATCTTATCTATTATGAATAGTACTTCAAAGAACATAGGAGTGAATTTGGTTTAATTTTTCCATGGGAACACATAGCAATAATCAGTCAACTCGCCAATATATGGACTAGTTGCCATATATCAACACTGTGCCAGGAGCTGAATGAGAAAGAGAAATAAAAACTAGATCCTTGTCTTCAAGGACGTTATAGCCAAGTTAGGGGTATAAATCATTTAGAAAAGAAAATGAGGGAGCTGTTAACATAGCCAATAGTAAGACCCGTAGATAGAAGTGAAAGTGAGTGGTGTATAGACTCTGGTGCTGTGGGAGCTCAGAACACAGGGAGAATGGAGACAGCGTGTGGTCACATTCAGTGGAAACTGTTTATTAACCACACAGCGTTGAACAGTGTGCCTGGTTCTCTAGGTCCATGTCGTCTGCACCTCTATCATAGCAGCTCATGCAGGGCTTGTGCCTGGCATCAGACTGTGCAATAGTTTGCCACTTATGGGCCTGTGTCATTTTACCTAATCTGTGTGAACTCTAAAATGGGGATAATAATTGTAGGAGGTAAAGTGAGTGCTAGGAACATAATAAGCATTTGCTTATTAACTTTTTTTTTTGAAATTGACACTATTGTTTTGAAATGATCCACTTACCTGGCTCTCTGCTTTGCTAGTCTCTGAGCTCCTAGAAGGCATAGAATGAGTCTTCTTTATTTTTATATATCCTGGGATATACTTACATATCCCAGACCCGTGGTTTGCTATATGGCCACACTTCGTTATGTCATGGATAACATTGTAGCTTCACTGGAGAGCTTTCATGGTTCCATAGGCAGGCTCATTGTCCAGGTGAAAAGATATTAATTAATTCTGATCTATTAATTTTACATGTACTGTGTGTAAGGGTCCACCCGGGTTATAACGATGCCTAAATCCATCTCTTCCTTTCATGATCTAGAAGGACCATCAAGGCAAGGGGATTGGGGATGCTGGAGTACTCACAGAGAGGAGCTCACAGAGCTGGGGGACCCACGACAGGGGAAACTGGCCTCCTGTGCCCTTCTCCCTTGCCTCAGCTCACAGTCAGACCTTTCTTCCCACTGTTTCTCCTGAGTTGACCCAGTAAAGTCATCCTCAAAAGTACCAAAAGTACCATGGTGTTTCTGGGGTCACTCTTCCCTTTTGAGCTCATGTCTAGACACAACCCAACCTAACAAAGAATTGGATATGAATGAACATATTTCTGAGGGCTTATGAAGAGTCAGACTGGAGTGGGGTCAATTAGACGTTATCCAGCATTTACTTGGAATGATTTTACCTTATAAGCCACGATGGCCAGAATAATTCTGTAGCCATTGAATTAATTACAACTCTCTTCAGCTCTCTGATATCTCCACTGTAATGGAAAATTCTTGGTGTATTGTCCTTATGGATAGAAGAACAAGTAATCCCAAATGTGGGTGTCAGTTATTTCTTTTGGACCTTGGAATGTATCTTAGGATTTCTGGTAAAAATTAGTTTATTTGGTATTCTAGAATCATAAGAAAGAGCAAACCAAATAACAATGCTGTAATATACAAGACAGATCAGGAGGCACTGGAGAAATGTCCATTTTCCTAATAACATTATTACAATTCTCTATTGCCTGTGCTAGGCAGGGGGAGAGATGTTTCACCCTTTGGACTGATGCTTTACACCAGCTCAAGCAGAACTATGTCCCCTTTTCTTTCTGACTAACACGTTTACTGACACCATGCTGGGTTTTGGATCTCCTAACGGAATCTCTTTGAACAGCTCACGTAGGCAGTGGTTTTCGTTATTGTCCAGAGAATAAACCTGAACTTCCACAGAACTGGCTATGAAAATCTCCACCAGACTGGACAAGCTGCTGAAATTCAAAATTTGCTTTCTTCCCTAGAAAGATACAAATATTGCTGTCCCCCATTCCTGGGATACTCCATAGAAGTAATTTACATCAGAAAGAAGTCCTTACTGGATGCTGGACACTGTGCAAAGTGTTTGGGATACAGGAATAAACTCTCTGGAGGCTGATAGTCTAGGCGGGGACCCAGGCTCATAAATGAGCACCCATAAGGGAGGTTTTGAGGTGGCAGGTGGCCATATGCATGAATGCGGCAGGAAAGTAAAGGATCATGTGATAAATTCTACCTCAGTTAGAGCAGGGAGAAGGCTCTAGAACTGAGACATGGAAGGAGAACAGGAGATTTCTGGGTCCAGAATTGTGGGAAGGAAGCCCTGGTGATTGAGGGGAGCAGCAATTCCAAGTACAGGGATCACTAGCCAAAGACAGGGGGTTACGACTGCCAGGCATGTGCCCCTGCTCATGCAGGAGGTTGCCTCTTGGGTCTTTAGCCACTTGCCAGGCTTTCTGTAGACTAGAAGCTGGGATAGAGGCACACTTGGGGTAGTGTCTGAGCCCCCCGCCCCCACCCCACAATGAAGACGGATCTGCAGGTGCCCGGGGGCCCTGCATTCTCTGGGGGCATCGTCAGCCCCTGAGCTCCCCTCTCCTGTCCACTTGGCACAACATTTCAACACAATGTCTTGTATGGCAGCCACTGTGAATACCACTTTAACTGTCACCATCTCTATCAGGGGCAACTTCACGGTGGGGCTCTGTGGGCACCCTGGATCGACCGTTGAAATCATCATGGTGTTATGCAGGCAGCAAACACCATAAACTGGAGAGATGAGTGACAGCATCTGATGTTGGAGGGCCGAAGCATGGGGATGACGAGGGGGGACATCCCCATGGTCACTATTTATTTGTTTACCTAACTGTAAAATTCTCTCTGGGAACTGCATAGACAAAGCCTGCTTTATCTGTCCAAACATGAAACGCGAGGTAAAGACACACGTCAAATGAAGGCAGCCTTTTTAGTCACAGTCAATACTTTTTGAAATTTGACAACAGGTTCTGTTAAATTCAAGAGCCTATTTCCTGTTTTGGGCTTACTTTATTTGGGGTTGGCAATAATTTAGTGATGACTCTTTGGCAGCAAGCACCAGTCATGACTGTAAGGAAGCACAGCACAGCCGATGCCCAGTATGCCTTCCAGCCCCCAACGGGCAACGTCTTACATTTCCGTATCTTCTGAAACTTCTGCTTCGTGCACTGGCTTTCAAACATTCGTTTTATTGGTAGGCAGAGGGCAAATCTTCCTTTTCAGTGCTTTGTCGGCACCATCCTTCTCCCTGTTTACTCGATTTCTTGATTGACATCTTAATCTCTGTGCGTTCTTGCTTGGCAAAGAGTCTACAGCTTAACGCAGCTGGAGGGGATGTTGGGAAGCCACGGTGACAATCTGGGACAGTTGTGGGGAGCCACACCAAGACACCAAGTGGGGGTGGAGACATGTCCTGGAAAAGGACATGCTCAGGGCGAGCCCCAGGTTCCTAGCTCGGGTGACTAGGTGGATGGTGAGGCCCATCACCAACACAGAAGAAAAAGTAGGTGTCCTTTGCATCTGTTTTGTTGAAGGTACATGAGGGACATCCAGGTGGAGATTTAATAGACAATTACTCATGGCGGTCTAGGACTTGGAAGTGAGTAGGGCGAGGCAGTGTCTTCCTCTGCACTTAAGCCTGTGTGTGACAAAATTCCAATCCCTCCCCCACCCCCTCAAAAATCAGGTCACACAAGAGTTTGCAATCCACACCAAGGAAACATGTTTATTTTGATATCGGCTTCTCAATCCCCCATTTCCTATTTTCTGCCAGAGACAGACTGAGAAAGAATGTGGAGCCGGAAGAACCAAAGTATGTAGAGAAACTGAGTAAGAATAAACCCCACTGGGGTGCCTGGGTGGCTCGGTCGGTTGAGCACCTGACTCTTGATCTTGGCTCAGGTCTTGATCTTGTAGTTTGTGAGATCGAGTCCCACATCTGGCTTTGTGCTGACAGCTCACAGGCTGCTTGGTATCTCTCTCCCTCTCTCTCTCTGCTCCTCCCCTGTGCACTCTCTTTCTCTCTCTCTCTCTCTCTCAAAATAAATAAACACTTGAAATTTTAAAAAATTAAGAAGAAATCCAAAGTGCTGAGTACCATAGCCACTCAGAACAGCTCTTTGGTTTTCTCATTGACCCTCTGGCTGTACTGGGTAGCTGGAAGTTCTTGGAAGAAGCAGATAGCAGTTTCAGCAATTTACCACATTGAACATGAATTTTCTGCACAGGCAACAGATCAGCATAGTACATCTGGCCCCAAGTGCCTGTGGTGGTATAATGAGTTAACAGCAGAGTCATCTGACAGATGAGAGAATCACCCTGGCGGTTAGGATGGGTTGGACTGGAGAGAAGGCATGCACAGAGCACGCCGCACGGGTAGCGCAGTTACCCGGAGTGGTGTTTCTCTGTGACCCAGTGGCTCCAACTTACCGGCAGACTGGAAAGCTGGAAGCACCCGTGTTGATTCTTTTCCTGAGAAACCACACTTCTCTTGTCTTTTCAGCCAAACCATGCTTTGGTCCGCACTGGCACTCCCACCTCCCGATTGGACACCCGGAGTCCCTCTACCACCTGCCACTCTGCAAGACAAGCCCAGCTGCCCCCATGGTGGCAACAGCTGCCGAAGGCTGAGCTCTCCAGCCCTGAAGAAGATAAAAGAGGAACTGAGTTCCCCTGAAGTGCGCAGAATTGCCTTGTAGGAAAGAAAAGGGAACTGCCTTCCACTAGAGAACCCAAGGTTTCTGAAGGGTCATCACTTGCCAGAGGTGGGTGGCAGTTATTTGTTTGAGGGACCCTTTATAAAGAGCTACGGGGGCCTTTATGTGATGGAATAGGGCTCCAAATTCCCATCTGTGATGAAGTTGGCTTGGAAGTTAAAGGAGAGAATGTGGGGAAGTCACACTGCATAGCACCTGGTATTTAGTAGATGCTGGATACACGGTGGTACTAATCACCTGAGGAGTGGAGAGGAGCGGCTATGATCACACTTCAGACCAGGATTTGAATCTCAGCTCCACCCCTTCCCAGCTACAAGATGTAGGGCACGTCATTAACTTCTCAGAGCCACAGTTTTACTCTCTCCAAAACTGGGTCAACAGTATCTACCCCTGAAGTTACTGTGACTCTTAAGATCAGATGAAGTAAGTAAAAGGCTTTACTTTGAGGTAGTATTAGTAATATTTTTGGAAATAGCTGATCATAGGGCTTTTTTCACGCTTCATATTTCTAAAGAGAATACCCCTTGATAGGGTCAAAATTCTACTGGGACAATACCCAGGTCTCTACACTGCAGTGAATCTAAGCTATGTGTTGACCTAGACTGATATTAACAGATCTGTTCTTTTAGGGGCCAGGGAGAGTGTAAATAGCATAGGCTTTGTGGGCCAGCCTGTCTCTGTCCCAAATCCTCAACTCTACCATTGTCAGGCCGACTGAAGCCAAAAACAGTATGGAAACAAATGAACGTGGCTGTGGTCTAATGAAACTTGGTTTACAAAAACAGGCAGTTGGCTCAATTTAGCCTGTGAACATAGTTTGCTGACTTCTGACTTAGACATATACATGTAGCTCATCTCACATGTGGGTGCTCGTTGATGTGGCATGGTTAAGAGAAAAGCAGAAAAGAACTTCATCCTCCCACTACCATCCCCCATGATATGCCAAATACTAAAAATTCCACTATTAGAAAGTCATTCCTTTGAATTAACCATTGATCCACAGAGAAAGGAGAGGTGCCTGGTGCAAGGTAAATAGAGAATATAAGGATTAAGCTTTAATTTGAATTGTAACATTGTGTGCCTCTAGAACTGACTCGTCTTGACTCTGCTGGGAGTCACCAAGCACCTGGAGGGAAGAGAATTAAAAATGGGTAGAAGGAAGGAAGAAACGGAACAGATCTGACTAGGACTTTCTCTCAGGTCTTCCAAATCAAACGTCTCCTTAGACTCCTTCCCCTTCTGCATTCCATACCCCTTTCAAGCCAAGATTTCTTTATCACAAAGAGCAACCCAGAGAGTTGATCCTTCACTGCCTCTTTCCGAGACAGTGAGTGGCTGCTTTCAACAATTCTGAAAGCCTGGAGCCCTTACGTTCCGGGTTTGCATCTCTCAGAATAGATGTGCAAGGGGGCAGCCGGCCGTTTTTCTGTACTCCAAGTCTGGTGCCCAGATTAACAATGACACCGGTATAGAGGTCCTTTTCTTCCCTTCCCAGTCTCTCAACCCCACCTCTCATTCCCACCCCCACTGGCAGCCCACTTCTTCCCCCAAAACTGGGAACAAGAATCCGAATTCAGGGGGTAGGACTCACGGCAAAGGCTATTTTAGTGCAAGGTCAAAATTATGTTAGGGGCGAATCTCATTTGTGCCTCCAGTGGCTGTAGATTGATCTTCGCAGGGGGGAAATGGCAGGCTGTGGAGACATCCTCGGTCAGCATGACAGGGTAGCAAAGGTATCTATTTGTGAAGATCACTTGGTCTAAGAAACTGTGATCTGTTTCACTTCCAAGGGCAGCTGCAGACAAAATCCTGTCTGTAGAATAAGAAAGCCATTCCCAGTGTCCCACCAGGGTGCTCTGCTCTGTGTCTCCCAGATGGCCCTCACCTCATCCCCCATCACAGAACTATCACTTGCCATGTTTCCCAATGTCCTGTCCTCTCTGCGTATCCACACCTCCAGTCTCCTATACTCACTTTTCGGGGACCACAGCGCCCTTCAGCACAGCTGCTTCTCTGAGCCCTGCCAGAACTTGCATGTACGCCTCGCTCCAAGGGCCATGAGCCACTGGAAGGCACATGTGCCTCCATGAATCGACCATTGCCACGACCACCATACCCAAGAATATTACCCAAACCCAAAGCATTCCTCGGTGCTCAATTAATGTTTGTAGAATTAATTCACAATAGACAACGTTAACGCTCGCATCACATGAATGGTTACCTTCTCCAGTGCTAATAAAGAGGGAGGAGACTATGTTAACCACTAATGTCTCTTTGCCCCACCCCACCCCTGAGACCTCTGAGGGGGGTGAACGCTGGGAAGAGGGGCAAGTCCACGCCCATCTAGCCTCCTGGGAGCCCAAATCCTTCGGCACACCTTTTCCTTTCCATTCACAGCTGCCCCCAGCCCATGTAGCTTAGAAACTAATCTGGCATTTGAACTTGATTCAAACAGAAGTAGATATGATTCAATAAATCTAGTTCAGCTGTCTTTAGCTTAACTTAAGTTTGTAATCCATGGTGCAAATGTGTGCTAAGAATGCATCGATCCTCCTGTCCCCAAGTTAAAAGATAGAAAAATATTCTTGGATTTTCCATTACATTTAAGGTGAAAGTCTTTATGAAAGAGAACTTTTTCCTGAAGCAGTTCAATCTGGGATGGGGAGAGGGGGGCAAGGCAGGGTGAGGCAGGAAAGGAGGGAGAAGCTACGTGAGGGGCAGTAGCATGCTCACCACGGCTCAAATCCAAGTACAACCGAATATTCCATGTCTCAGGACTCACTTCCGGGAGGCCTCGTGAAATACTGTCTCAGGAAAATCCACCGCAGAAGTGGGGGAGAAGAATATATCCACCAGATCTTGACGCAGTGGGACGTTGGTAAAGTACTTCCCTTGTCCTTTACAGGTGCACATGTGTGGCACCAAGAAGTTCCCACCGTGAGTCATGCCGTAGTGGCAACAGGGACCCCCAAAGGGAAGGTGAGTGGCATGAAGTGCAGGCCCAGGGTCCACGGTCAGGCTGTGCTTTTCTTGGTCCCTGCAGAGGTAGCTGGAGCAGAACAAGGGTCCGAGGCCTTGGGTATGGTGAGCACAAGAGTTGTCCAATATGCTGAACCTCCCTGCCGTGAGTGTGGGGCTTGCTGGAACGTGTTTTCTACACATGCTCTCTTGCAGAGATGGGCTTTATTCATTTTTAATGTTTATTTATTTTTGAGAGGGGGGAGGGGCAGAAAGGGAGACAGAGGATCCAAAGCGGGCTCTGTGCTAACAACAGAGAACGCAAGACGGGGCTCGAACTCACGAACCTGAGCCGAAGTAGGACACTTAACCAACTGAGCCACCCAGGCACCCCAAGATGGACTTTATTTTTTTTTCAACAATTCATTTCTTCATTCATTCATTGACTGATTGATGCCCCCCATATACCAAATGCTGTGGTATTTAGAAACAGCTCTGTCTTTCAGGATCAACGGAAGTACCTCATCCGCTGTTTAAAAGCAACTTCAGGCTGCCTCCTTGGCTGATCCCTCCTGAGGCTCGCCCAGCTGCTTGGACCAATGGCTCCATTTGTTTTACTCAGAAGAGTTGAGCTGCGCACAAAATTCACGCTGCTGGGCCCGAAGGCTACAGGTGGCCCTGGAAGAGAATGTGTCTCTTTTTCCAAGGAAAAAGTCAATCCAGTAAACCTGAACACCGCTACTTATCCATCCCTCCTTTCCATGTCATCATTTTATAAACACTCAGGCCCAGAGCATGAGGTGCGGAGCCCCAAGGTTCCAGAAGGGCATCTTGCACTGTGAACTCAGACTCCAGGAGGGAAGTCAGCTGCAGAAGCCTGGAATGTGGGCGCTGTCCTTAAAGGACGATCTAAAGTAAATACTTATAGATTAGACATAAGAAATTACTAATTTTTTTAGATTTCTGTTTCATCCATCTGTTACGTCATTTGGCTATGGTTCACCACGACCGAGGCCACATATAAATAGCTTCATGTCACAGATGTGGAAACTGAGGCCGAGAGATTAAATAACTTGAGGAAGATCACAGAGCCAGTAAAGGGTATTTTTAGGACTAGAGCCATCGTTTGTAAGTGACCATCACCTTTGTCCTACCCAGAGGTTAAGCCCGCCCTGGCCTGTCCTCCAATCCATTGACCGATCAGCCCAGCAATGGCCGTTGCCAATCCTTGTCTGCCATATGGGAGACGGGGGCCTTAGGACCCAGGGGTTTCCCTCAAGGTACTTCAGCCGAGTATTGTCAGCGGGCAGGATGCCAGCGCTCAGGGCTCCATCTTCCCTCCCATGCCCTCCATCAAGCCCCCTCCTCCCTCACCTTGCACGGAAGCCAACTCACTCTTGGTACATTCAGTGTTTTTCCATTCCAGTGAGCCGCTCAGCCTTTACTTTGATTTGGGTGCAAGCAGCTGCAGGTGCCTCAAGTCATCATCTGCTCTCTTTCCTCCTCTCTCACTGCAATGTCATCCATGTTTACTTGCTGCTCTGGACTTTAGATTCTGTCAGAATGCCAATCGGCTGGGCCGCCAGGCACCACAGCTGACAGTCAAATCTGTGATGCCGAATCCTTCTTCTGGAAAAAAGGGCTAAAGAGGTTAATACACTCAAGTCAGGATAAACACACCAGCTGTTAGAGTTTCTAATATTTAATATCATTATCAAATAAATAACTCAGGAAAAAAAATCACACACACATACGCACACACATACACACACACACCATAAAAACCCACAGCAGCCCACAGCTTCATCCACGGCGGTTAAAGCGAATATTAATAAATTATCTTAAAAGCTTCCACAATGGGGTAATGGCTAGGACACAATTAAGAAAACATTTGCATATAGCCTGCTGCTGTTCTTGTCCAGAGACAGTCTCCCCAGGTCAGTTGGAGAGAGGATCTGCGGGGATGGGGGGTAGATGAGAAGCGTAAAGTGGGAGGAACATGTAGCGACAATTTTTAGGTTTTCCTCTTGGTTCGGAAGGATCTCAAGCTCAAGTAACATTTGCTTTTGCTTTTGCTTTCAACGGGGAGATCCCAAATGGATCTCCCTCTCTTAAGAAATACACCACCCTTCAAACTACAAAATACAAGATAATTTTTTTTTGAGAAAAATGTGGATTCATTAGTAACCATCTTGTGGATTTTGGATTAGTATCCATCTTGTGGATAGTGGGTTATTTAACTGACTGGACAACAGTGCACAGATACCAGCCAGAGTGATGAGCATCTATTTCTCTCTTGCAGTTCCAGCCTCTGATTCCCTGAGCACTGAAGTTAAGGTTGAGCAGGACAGAATTTTAACGGCCTGTTAACTGTGTCAGGAAATTGCAAGTCCATCTTTTTTTTCCCCCCCAGCTCACTGGCTGCTGTTCACCTGGGCTGCAGGAACAGAAAATGATGATCATCGCATTTGGGGGAAAAAATGAACGTGGGCTAATTTTTTTTTAAGGCTCCAACAAAATGTTTTCCAGGTCACAAAGCACTAAGCAAAATGAGCTCCATATCTAGTTTATGTTGTATATTATAAGGGAAGCTGGTCTCAGCGACTCCGTTAAGGTTCCATGAGCATTTTTGTTTTTTTGAGATAAAGCCTTCATTTTAGGGGGCCAGGCTTGAGCTATTTCCCTTCTCACCAAGCAAAAACCTGGCATCTTGTTTGTCCGTCCAGATGTATTTTTGTTTGGGTTTTTACACTGTTTGATTGAGATCAAGTCATGAATCTCTGCTCTCTGGATGGGCAGAGGAATGACAATTTATGAAGTCTGAAGATGCGTGTTTTTTAGCTCAAAAGCATAGCCAGATGAATTTGGGTGAGAGGGACGGCTGCATGGCCACCATGGCCAATATTGGGGCAATTTCTCTTTTACAAACTTTGAAAAAATGAGATGAGGAGGGTGTAGTTTTAACAATCTCGGTTATCTGGGGCTGTATGGGCAGAATGGGTCAGATGGAAAGAATCTCAATAATTTAAATGGGACTTTGTTCTAATAAGACTTTCATGGTAATTTTCCTGTCGACACTGTATCTGTGTAAAGCCTACCAAGATGGCGGGACCATCCACACGCTTTCTGGTTAATGCTGGGACGGGTGAACACATAAAAGACTTCAGTCCACCCACCGCTGCCTTTGGTGAACTTCCAACGGCTCAGTGCCCCCTTTGCTCACTCAGGCATTCTCTCCATGTCCGGTCAGGTCCCTGGGTTCTTCAAATGAGTTTTTCAAGCATGTAGAAAAAATGCAGCCACGGGGCAGGAATGAAGGTGAGAATGAGGAGCCTCCCCCGGAGAGACCAAGTGGGAGGTAAGGGTGTCTCAGAGCCGATCTCAGTGGTCAGTTGGCCAGCATGTTGTCCTCACCTCTCAGCACGGCAGTGATAGAAGGAATGAAACCTTGCCTGAAGTTGGGGGAGTTGCATGAAGTGTAGGTATTTGGTTGTCTTCTGAATTTCTATGCAGACGTATCTGGATTGGAGGTGAGACCAGAATCATTGATAGAGTAATGAGGATGAAAGAGAGGAAGGAAATGAAGAGGAAAGTGGCAGCAGGGAGGAAGAGAGAGGAAAAGGGGAGGAGAGAGAAAGGGAGGAGAGGAAATGGGGTGGCGGTGGGGGAGGAACACAAAGGTCGGTTCTCAAGCCCAGAGCTGTGCTGTCTCCCCGGCCTCTGTACCTTTGCACAAACGGTGCCCTCTGCCTAATGTCCTTTCACCTTTTTGTCCAACACCAGCTCTGACTCACGACTCACATTTTGGGTCTCAGATCACGTCATCCTGTTCCTCCGTGCAGAGTTGGAGTTGAGTGTATTCCTTCCCTTCTTCTTTATTCCCTTCATGCATGAGGCTATCTCTGCCTTTCTGTCTCCCAGAGGGAGGAAACATCTTTACTTCATAACTTCCCAAGCTTCCTGGTGATCCTAGGTTTCCATGAATGAATGAATGAATGAGTGAAAATGAGAGAATTGAGGAATCATGAGAGATTTTCCCAATACAAGAACTCCCCTATGATGAAGAAATTTACAGTTTCAATTAGATGCTCTAATAACCATTTGCTAATAACAATTGAATTTAAGAGGTCTTAAAGATTAAGTGACGTAGTGGTATTGGTGATCACTCTCCAGAGATTTTTTTTTCTATTCTAACAATAACTGTTTATAATGTCCTTTTAAGATTAGAACATACCTGTCATTAATATTAAAACATAAGATCGATCATATTTTATTCATAAGCTTATATGGGAGCTGAGAGATGTCCTTTTTAAAACAAATACGCATACAAGTATTTAGGATAACCCAGGCTTAACCATCAAGGGGACTATACGTGAATGTAAAGTCTGAGAGACGTTGAGTTAAAAGCAGTTTTGATTTCCATCTCAGTGACGAGCTTCCCTCGTGATCAGGTCAGCTCAGAAAACAGGAACAAGGTACCAAAGGTCCCTCGGTTTCTATCGAACTTTCACTTTCTGCCATTCTTATCACCTGACTTTATTCCCAGGAGATCCTTGTAAGATGAGGAGGAAACCAACTTCTGCCTCCCCTGGTGGGGATACAGGAGCCCAGGAAGCTCGTGGCATTTGTCCAGGGTCAGTTCTGAGCAGGAAGGGCTCTGTCCGTGGGACCCAGTCCTTGATTCCCGCCATCCAGGACTTGGAAAGCTGTAGAAAAGAGGATGCTGAACCGCTTTTCTGGTTGTCTTCAGGGTAGAATAGAAGAGAAAGGATTAAACTGAAGGATTGATGTTATACATCTAGAAGAACTTCCAGTTGCTGGGATGATCATAATAGCTGGAAGAAGCTAGTAAAAATCTTAGTGAGTTTCACTCTGCCGTGGTGATTTCGCCCATAGAATTTCAAATGTCTTACCCTTCTAGCCTTGATTCTCACCGAATTCCCAGCTCCAGGCAGGTGATGGGCAAGCAGGCACCGGAGCCTTCACTCGGAATTCTCAGCCTCCCTCCAGTTTAAGCCCCATGCTTTATTTATGTGAATTTTTTTTCATGTAGACATTTTACTCTCCTTGCTGCAGAAGGTGGTTTCCCCAAACTGCTGCAAATGTTCCTTGTCTGTATATTTTATTCATATGGATCCGTTATTGGCCCGTCCCTTCCTGAAAGAGCTGAAATTTGCCCTTGAGGCATCAGATGGAGTAGTCAAATTGTCAAATGTGTCTCCTAATTGAAGTGAACATTGGCACAATATTTGTCGACTGGAAATAAACAGCCCCAGTGAAGTAGCAGGTTTACAACCTTCGTGTGCTTGTCTGGGTCTCACCGAGAGTCGAAGGAAACGTGCGGAGAGAGAAGCTATTTCGCCTGGAAATGAAAAACTCTAGAGGCCGAGGGAGTCTGTCTTAGACCTCAAGTCTCCCAGAACCAAGAAAGGCTGACCTGGAGCAACTGTGGGGTGGCCGGTGAGGTTTATTTCCAGCACCGCTCACCCCTCCTGTGCCTGTCCTTCTTCCCATTCTGGGGTCCCCCCTCCCCTGAAATGCAAGGGTCCAGGATCAGCCTGCTTGCTGCCTGTCAAACCCTCTTACTGGCAAGTCTCCAAGTCTCTGCTACCAGACTTTGAGGAACAAAAAGTGAAAGGGTGATCGGTGTGCTTGAATGGCTAGATCATTAAGTGTCTGACTCTTGATTTCAGCTCAGGTCACGATCCCGCGATCTGTGAGTTCAAGCCCCGCGTCGGACTCTGCACTGCCAGTGCAGTGTGCCAGTGCCAGTGTGGAGCCTGTTTGGGATTCTCTCTCTCTCCCTCTCTCAATGCCCCTCCCCACCTCACATGCCCTCTCCCTCTCTCTCTCTCAAAACGAATAAAAGTGAAAATAAAATAAAAATAAAAGTGAAAGGGTGATCAAGTCAAAAGGAGCCCAGTGACCAACTCTGTCTTTTCCCAA